TGAAAATTAAAAAAAAATAAATAAAATAGAATCCTTTTTAAAATTTATTATTTTCATGTGTGTTTTGCCTGCATGTATGTAAGTGCACCCATGTCGTACAGTGCTCACAGAGGTCAGAAAAGGGCGTTAGATCCCCTGGAACTGGAGTTACAGACGTTGTTATCTGCCGTGTAGGTGCTGGGAACCTAACCCAGGTCCTCTGCAAGAGCATCCAGTGCTCTTAACTTTTTTATTTTAAAATAAAAAGGAAAAAAAAAGAAACAGTGGTGTGTTATTGTTAGAACTCAAGTGATTTGGTCCAGGAAGTCCTCTGTGTGCCTGCACTGTGCTGAGTCTGTACCTTTGGAGCAACACTTACTGCATATTATTATATAGAAATATTTAGTTTCTGTTTCTCTCAACTTGGGACAAAGAGCTTGCTCTATTGGTCTTTATCTCCTCACATAACACCTAGTATTCAGTTAATGTTTGTTCAACCTGAAAAGACAGATAGTTGGTAAATCTGGAGAAGTGGACTGAAGACATTGTAAATTTCATTGAATGGTAAGCCAACAAATTCTGGCCTGTGTTTTGTTTTGTTTTAATTTATTTATTTTTATTTTCTGTGTATGACTGTTTTGTCTACATGTATGTAAGTGTACCCGTGTCATGCACTGCCCTCAGAAGGCAGAAAAGGGCATTGGATCCCTTGGAACTAGAGTTAAAGGCAAGTATTAACTGCCATGTGGCTGCTGGGAACTGAAACAGTCCTCAGGAAGAGCAACGAGTACTCTTAACCACTGAGCCATCTCTCAAGCCCCTTGTTTTGTTTTTTAAGACAGTTCTCACTATGTAGACCTAGCTGGCCTGAATTCTCTATGTAGATCAGCTGGCCTCGAACTCACAGAGATCCACCTGCCTCTGCTTTTGTCTCCCAAGGGCTGGTATTAAAGGCATGCCACCATCATGCCTGACCTCTGACTGACTTTTTCCAAAAGCAAGAGAAGGCATTCAATTCAAGTTTGTTTAAGACAAAACAAAACATAGACTGAAGATGTAGCTCAGTAATAAAGCACTTACTTAGCATGTGTTCAATTCTCAGTACCAGAAAAACAAAAAGAAAAAGTCCAGCAACAGTGCAAAGTATAGATTAGATACCAAGAAAGACTGGAAGAAGGGTAGTTAGGAGGCAACAGAAGTCTCTCAAATTCAATCTGGGGAGATGGCTCAGTGCATAAAGTGCTTGACATGCAAGGATGAGGACCTGAGTTTGAGCCTCAAAACCCATTGTAAAAAGGCCAGGTATGATTGCACGCTCTCATTATAGATAGACAGATTTCTGGGATTTACTGGCCAGCCAATCCAGGCTAATTAGCAAGCTCCAGGACCCTGTGAGAAACTGTCTCAAAAACAAGATGGACAGTGCCTGAGAAGTGACACCCAAGGTCGATCTCTGGCCTCCACATATACCTACATTATACATGTGCACCCCCCCACACACACACACATACACACACAATCTCTCAGATTCTTTCTTTTTCGGTCTTTTTGAGACAGGGTCTCCCTGTAGCCCCAGCTGTCCTGGAACTCAATGTAGACCAGGCTGGCCTCACAGAGATCTGCCTGCCTCTGCCTCCTGAGTGCTGGGATTAAAGGCATGTGCCACCACACCCAACTCAGATTCTTATATGTGTCAGAATTACATAAGGCTAAATTAAAGGTTTATAAATTTTTCCACAGGATGAGTTAAAAATGTGCCTAGGCATGGCACACAATAAGAAGCACCTGTTAGTATTTTCATTGCTCTCTTTTTTTCTGTGACCCACTGCAGTTGTGTCAAAATACACTGAAATACTCCATGTTTCAATTTAAGTTCCACGCCTTGTAAAGTGTTTAGAATTTAGGTAGCTCTTGTAATGAATTAGTGAAGTGAGATAGGAAATGTGCGTTAGAGTCTCAGACACCATTGCACTATTCACCTGCTAATGACTTAGATTCCACTTTGAACTTAAGTCCAAGAGGAATTGTGTGACTGACATCTAACAACTGTATTTCTCTTCATTTCTGCAGGGAGAATATCTTCAGTTGTACAGTTTTGCTAACGCTGTCTTAACTTGCTTTTTCTGTAAACAACTGTCCAGACTTTATATTTTTCCCAATAGAAGCCTATAATCTACAACTGCCAGAAACTTAAACACATTACCTTTAGAATATCATTTATATTAAACCTGAGAGCTCTTCCCTTCTTATTCTAAAATGTTGAGATACTGGGGAGAGATACCAATATCCTCAAGCCGGACCAACAGAAGTTCCTTTGATCTGCTTCCACGAGAGTTCCGTCTGGTGGAAGTCCATGACCCACCCCTGCATCAACCCTCAGCCAACAAGCCCAAACCACCTACTATGCTAGACATCCCTTCAGAGCCGTGCAGCCTCACTATCCATACCATTCAGTTGATCCAGCACAACCGACGTCTTCGCAACCTTATTGCCACAGCCCAGGCCCAGAATCAGCAGCAGACAGAAGGTGTAAAGACTGATGAGAGTGAACCTCTTCCCCCCTGCCCTGGATCACCTCCCCTTCCTGATGACCTCCTACCTTTAGATTGCAAAAATCCCAACACACCATTCCAGATCTGGCACAGTGACCCAGAAAGTGACTTTTATCGGTAAGGCAAAGCTTTCCTATATTTTACTTTTCTCAATTAGTCTTCCTGATGACCCTGTGAAGCCTGTGTAGCATTTCTGCTTCCATCTGACAAAATTTTCTGTGAGTGATTGACTAGGCCAAGGCTGCTCAAATAATTAGTGGGACATCCAAACCTTGCCCAAATCTTCAGAATCCAGAGTCTGCATTTTTTATGTTTTCGAATACAATATGCATTTATTGAGTGCCTACTAAGTGCCAGGCATTTTACTAGAGCAAGGCAATACACTGATACATGAAAAGTGAGGTGGGGATAGAGCTCAGTGGTCGAGCACTTGGCTAGCAAGTAAGAAAAGAGAACATTCTTAACAATCAGCACCATATTCATATTTTGAGGGCAGTGTAGTTTCATTCAACAAAATATTGTTGTCCATCAAATTAATGCTGTTATTTACAATTTTGTGTTAAATTCCTATTTTAATTGTTAGCAAGAACAGTATCAAATGTTTATACCTAGGGGCTGGGGAGATGACTCAGTTGGTAAAGTGTTTATATTGCAAGCATAAGGATCCAAGTTCTGTCCCTAGAATTCACGTAGAAAAGCTAGGTATAGTGGCACACATTTATAATTTCATCACTAGGGAGACAGAGACGGGCACCCTGGGGCTCACTGACCAGCCTATCTTTCTTGGTATGCTCCAGGCCAATGAGAGTCCCTGCCTCAAAATATAAGGCAGTGGCTAGGGAGATGACTCCATAAGTAAAATGCTCCCATGAAAGTGTGAAGAACTGAGTTTGCAAACCCAGGCAAAATGCTGGGCATGACAGGGCATGATGGTGAACACCTTTAATCCCAGTACTCAGGAGGAAGGGGCAGGTAGATCTCTGTGAGATGGAGGCCAGCCTGGTCTTTATAGTGACTTCCAGGCCAGCAAGGACTACATAGTGAGAACTTGTCTCTCAAAAAAATTTGGGGGGAGGGCATGGTGACACATGCTTGTGGTCCTAGTGCTGGGGAGGCAGAGACAGGAAGATTCCTGGGACTCACGAGCCAGCCAGTCAGCCAGCCAGCCTACCCTAAGCAGCAAGCCCATAGCCTAATCTATAAGCTTCAGGTCCAGTGAGAGAACCTGTCTCAAAATCCAAAGTGGCTAGTGCCTAAGGAACAACACTGTAGGTTCATCTCCAGCTGCTTCATGTGCACACACACATACACATGTGCACCTACATACATACAAATACATATACACAAAAATAATGTGTATAGCTCATGACAAATGACACCCGTGGTTGTCCTCTGACTTCCACATGCATGTGCACAAGTACACACACGTGCCATGCACCTGCACACAAAAAAATAAAGTTCTAACCTAATTTTGTTTTATTCATATTTTAACAGACTATAAGAAAAATAATTTGCATCAGCTATAAGGGGCCAGAACATTATTTTCCATCAAAAGTCTATATAGAGGCTGCAGATGTAGCTCAGTGGTAGAGCACTTGCCTGGCATGCACATTCCTGGGTTTAAGGAAAAAATAAACAGAAGTTCATATATTACTCAAATGAAGTGGTAATGATTAGCTCTTGTTTTTTGGGCACTCCTGATGCCTTTAACCTTTGGCCCAGAGAGACCGGCCATGGAAATATTAAATGAAAAGTTATTTAGCAGTTGTCTTATTTAACTA